GAAAGAAGATAGGAAGTATAAAGCATGTTCTGGAAGTAACCTTCCTCTTGCTAGAAGAAGGCCAAATATTCACTTTGCTCTCAGAGAATAATCATTTAAAAGTATCAGAGACAAAGGCTACACAGTATTTTTATATCTTATATACATTATTTAGAATAAAGGTATTTTTTTTTAATGAGACAGAAAATGCCAAAACCACTCAGCTATTACCATCATCAACTCAACTTTGACATAATCATAGGAGGCCTCATACTCAAAATTTTCTCCAACTTTAATCTACACTGAACAGCTCCTGAAGAACTAGTATCTGCTGGTGAATCAATCAATGCTGCAGAAAGCAGGATGACAAACACCACTCTAGGTTGTCAGTGTCTAGCTTTAGAAAGTTCTTAGGAAATATTTTACTTTAATACTAAGCTACAGTTTCTGACTTGGGTTGCATTTGTCTCAGGCTCACTAATATGCCAGATGGGTCTCAGAAAAAAAGAGGTACCTGTAGATGTTTCTCCACAGATATAACTCAGATGAAAATGTTGCCTGCAGTAGAAAAAGAACCTCAACTAAATTGACTGTAAATATGATGTGCCTTTATACATGAGCAATCTGCCAGTATGCCAAGGGTGATGTGATCACAAACTGCTGAGAGTAACAGTGGAGGTCATTCTGACACATATGGAAAAGACTGATTCTTAGGCTCCATGGAGATATTTTGACATACAAATAACTTAAAAAGCAGAGTATTTTGTACACTGAAAGTTGGTCTATTTGCTTTTATAAGTGAAGTCTCAGAGGACCTGATTTTAGGAATGCTCAGCAGTACCAAGAACTTAACCCAAAAATTAAATACAGATGGTGTGCAGTCAGTTTTGTTCTGTAAAACATTCCTGTGCATACATAAAAAGTTGTTTACTTTATTTTCTAAACATCTTGATGAATTTCAAAAGGAGAGATTTCTGACCTCTTGGTCTACAACAAGCATAACAATATCTCATCATTATCCTATGCTATCCCACAGCTCTGGATTTTGGTACATGAAGAGGCAAAGAAGAAATCGGGAGACCTTTACTCTGCAGACATTCATGGAAATGCCATGAGTTCTCTGTGTTAAGGAGATGCTCAGAGCAAATATTTCCAAAAAAAAAGGAGACTCCTAATATCATGGTTTCCTGCAAAATTGATGATTGTCTAACAGGTTTTGAAACAGTGCCTTTGTTTTGTACAGGCCCAATTCTTGTAAGCCGTCCTAGATTCTGCAAAGCTGCATCACTCAAAATGATGGATTGCAACTGGATTGTAAGTTTGCATGTCTCCTTCCTAGGTGCAACTATCAGACCTGTGTGTTAAGTGTGAAATGTATTTGGCAATGGCAGCTAGCAAACACAAAGATGAGTTTGTAAAGGACCACCAAGTCAAACAGAGCTCTGAGCAGGGGCTGTGTAGATCATCTTCTTAAAGTGAACTCCCCAAACAGATTTTTAACTATTATCAACCCAAAACCACTATCTCAGAGTGCAAATGAAGGTTTACAATCCAGTCTCTCCCTCTGTGTGGTATCTCTGCTGATAGGACTAGTTCCAGCAAATCCAGTGAATCTCTGAAGTGCCCCAAGCACTGTACAGTCCCTCGGTCCCCAGCAAACTTAATTTCTGTTCTTTCTGAGATCTGACAATTCATTAAGTCTCCCTGCAGAAGCCCAGCCCTGGGCACTGGCCCTCTTGGCTGCCAGCTCTATTCTCTCCTTCCCTGACAAGCCCCCATATCCCTCTCACTGCATTACAGGTGGTTCTGTAGAAAGCTAATTATTTTTGATCATTAAAAGTTTGCATGAAAAAGTATGAAGAATAATAAAAATAAATCGAGTGCACTGGGTATTAAAAATTCATATTCCACACAGAATCACACACAGAGAATATTTTCCCTTCAAAGGAATCCAGGAAAGATAAGGAAAACATGTCTGGTTTCAATCAGATATTCACTCCCAACTTGGAGTCCACAGATCCACCAGAAAACAGCTGGGGGTAGCAGATCAAAAAGAGAAAACTACTTGCCAAAGATTACTAATGTCTGATGACAAGATGATGGCATCATGGTTTCCTTCATCACAGAATGCATTATAAACTGGCTCTGTTCTTCTGTGAGCAACAGTCAGACTCAGTGTCCTTATCTCACCATACAGAGCAGTTAGAAAAAGCACATTCCTGTATCAAAGCCATCACTTGCAGTTGGTATAAGATACAGTAAATAATAGAAATCAGTTAGATTTTTCTACCAAATAATGCAAATCAATTAAATATTTCCATCAAATTACCTTGTCTTACTTAGGAAACCCTTTGTTAAACATGTAGCAGCTGTAATTGTTCAGGAGGTATGAGCAGACTCAACTATTTTTCCTTTCCCTTTTTTTCCCCCAGCTTTTTTGTCACAATACCCTCAAGCTCATTTAAAGGACCAGGAAAATTAAATTATGAGTATTATTTAGAACAATAACAATATACTTTATTATGAGCTCTTCATCATCAAAAAAAAATGGAATTTTTGAATTTGTCTGACATTTACATGTGCCATGTTTCCTCTACTTACCACGAAGCTGTCAATCTATTATTTATGAAAACAAGAGACCAGAAATGGGTGTACATGGTTTCAGACAAATCTACTGGCCTGTGTAAACACTCATTTCCTCCCTCATTCTGTTTAAAGACTCTCTGCTTTTGAAAAATAGATGATTATTGCATTGAATAGCACCTAATGATGTAAAATTATAACATTCCTAAGGCTGGGAAATTAGTACTTCAGCTCTAATACAGATAGAGTGGTAATGTTGATATAAAAGCACTACATTTCAAGCAAAGCATCAGTGTTTCCTCTTGGAATTGTCAGCATTTCTGAGATCATAATACTTAAGTGACACCAATTTTCGATTAACCTTTTTATTTATTTACATATTTATTTTTGAAACCTAGAAATTGAAGAGGGTTTCTGAATTTCTTTGGTTCTGAGAAGAGTTGAGAGAATAGTTTTCTACAGGCAGCTCTTCCATACATTCCCATTTCTTTTTTTAATTAAGGTAAGATATACCTGTATGTGAAGTGTGTGGTTTCTTCCCACACATGCATTTAAGCTACCAATAAGCTACCAATTAGTCAACAATGCTTCTACAAATCATATCTACCTGCTGGCTGTTGTCTGTGAGATTACTCTATTTTGGGCCCCAAATGAAGTAAGGCTGGGTCCACCATCCCCTGTGTGTGGTACAGGACTTCATGGCCTGGAGCTCAGCTTAGGTAAAATACATCTTGTTCCCAAGCAGCATTGTGCAGACCTGTTGTGTCCCACTCAGGCATGAAGCAAGCAGGAATGGCTCTCTCGGGGCAGCGAGTCTGAGATATGAAGTCAGAGTTTTGAGACATGACTCCTAAGACCAAACAAATCCGCCCCAAAATGTGTTATCTTATGCTTGACTGTGTCAGGGCCATGAGCAGAAACCTGGAAGTGTAAAGCCTTATGTTTAGACAAGAGTCTGACAGCACATTCAAGCTCTTTTCCCTTCTGGCCACAGATGAAACAACCAAGAGGAAAAAGGACTCGATGAAAATCTTTCTAGACCCTCTATTTGCACCGGCCTAGAACTAATTTCCGAGCCTTTCTCTTAGAAAAACTGAGCCCTTCCAAGCCTGTCTCTCAGAAAAAGAGAAAAAAGTCTGACTTTCCTAGTCTGCAGCCAGGAAGCTAAACCTAACAGAAACAAACCAACAAATCAATACAAGCAGTATGAACAGAAGCAAGTTGAACCAGATTTCATCCACCCTGACCCTGATGAGTCAGTACAAAATGTTTCAGCAAGAAGTAGACGAGACAAGTTTCCTCCATGTCCTCCTCCCACCTCAGCGTGCAGGTAGAAGGCAGACTGAGCCAATATAAACACAAACACCACTGAGCTCCCCTGTAATATGGTCCTTCCCACCATGGAGGCATTGGCACAGACCAGCAAAAGGAGATGACAGATCAGTAACCCTACAACTAAGAGACTAATGATGCTATATTTCAGAGCCCTGAAACAGCCTCAGGTGTATTCCAGTGCCAGTACAAGAGGGTCATGGGCCAGGGCAAATGGACATCTGGCTTGGATGGGGCAGGAGCACAGCAGTGCCAGTCAATGCAGTGACACTGCTGTGGCACTGTGGCCACAACTTTCAACTGACACTTCTTCACATACTGGTTTTGCAATCATGATTCAGACCCATGTACATTTTTAGCCACCAATGGCAGTGAGACCCAAAATTAATTCTGCCCTGAATGAAAAGGTACATGTCTGAAATCTGCTGCCCAATAATAGCTGTCCTCTCAACCCTCTCTCTTGCTACCTGAAGCATACCAGGGATCTCTCCTTGTACAGGATCTGCTCTACACAGCAGCAATCCTTACAACATTACATCAATAACACATAGTGTATACATATGTCAAAAGAGAGATATGTAGTGTTTTTATAACTTTTTTTAGAAATGTATGGAATGATGCTCAGTCCTCCCCAAATGTACTCATGATGCAGATGAACTATGCTTATTCACATTATCCCAACATGCAAAAGAGTAAACACCACCTTTTTTCCCCCTATTAGTCTTTCTTAATGTTCTGTCTGATTTTTTTTTTGAGCAGTGCTGAGCATGAACCAAAGTTTTTAGAGAACAATCCCTAGTGACTCTGGACTCTCTGTCTTGCATGGTAATGTGGTGCTGATCTCACTGTGGGTGTATAGACACAATAGATTTTTCCCAGTGCTTTACTTATATTTGTAGATAAAGAATATGAACTTCATGTTATGTTGTCATCTTAATATTCAAATACAGATATAAGTATACATATCTGTATATTATACAGGCACACACACTTCAATTATACCATGTATAACTATTTATTAGTATATTTAACAGTGAATACCTCAGCACAGATGCCTAAGGAATTCCATTATTCTCCTCCCTTGTGAAATAAAACTATCCCTCCTTTACATTTCCTTCCTTTTAAACAGTAATTAACATGCAGAGGACCTTCTCCCCATCCTGTCACAACTTAATTTCTTTCAGAAAATTCAGCAAAGGACCTTGTAATAAAGGTTTTTTTGGCAGAATATCAACTGGATCAGTTGATCATATTTTCAGTGTCTTCAGTGATGATGAAAAATAAATTTGAAAAATACTAATGCACTCCCAAAAGCTGTGTCAGTTCTCCCTCCTTATACTGTTTTCACCCTATTAGTCCTAGAATGTCTTCTAACAGTTCACACAACTCCAAATTTATAGATTGTCTGAATTCCCTATCCTGCTTTAATCCTTTCTAAAAGTTACATTTATATTTGTCATTTCATTCTCATCTAGTACTACTACTGATTTAATCAATTGACTCCATAGCATAGCTGAAGGCTTTAATTTTCATATTTATGTTCCCTCAGGGATCCCTAATAAATAGCACATGATTCTGGTAATTTGTCTGCATTCACTCTATGTCTTCTAAACCTTATTCTTTTGACACATTCATTTGAGAAAGTTGTGTTTCAAACTCTGATCCCTGTAAAACAAAGCTCTCTGGTTTCAATGTCTTCTTGGTGCTGACATTCACTGAGAAGAATTGGTTTAATTTTTCTGCATTTTTACCCTGTGAGAACTGCTATTAAACCATGACCATCTATTGGCCTCACAGTCTTTCTGGCAGGCTTTCTAATATGTTTGACAAATAACAATATTCCTAATTTTTATGTCTTTAGAAAATTGTTGCCCGAAGTCTTTTTTTTCCTACCTTATTAATTTTACATTTAACTTACATTCTTTTTCTATTTGAATTTGATGTTCATTTTAGCCTCTTAACTCCTAGTAATCCCCCCTTCATCTGGTGTTTAACTCTGAAGACTTGTTTGGAGTTATTTTCCAAGTTTCCTTTTTCCACAAATAGAGTACATTTGACATTCCACTATATTATATTTAAGCAATCACCATGTAATGCCACAAACATTTTTTTTTTTTCTTTTGGCAGTTCCTTTTAATTTCTTTGAATAGTTTATTGATTTTTATGTATTTCTACATTATTGCAGGGAAAGGGCTAAATCTGAGTCTATTGTGATAATTATTGTGTCACAGCTATTTAGCAGTAATGTTCAGACTCAGGCCCAGATCAGGATTATTCATGGCTTGTTCTCCTGACATTGCTCCAATGACTGCTCTAAGAAGCAGGCATTTTCAGGGCCTAAAAGCTCTTCTCTGCAGAACACATCTCATTCTGACATTCACCCTTGCCTCCTGGAGATACACAGGTGAATCTTTTCTGTCGGTGTGATCTCTGCCATCTCCATGAAGATGTCTTTGTTACTGTTAAAAAATCAAGCAAAATTCTGAGGATAATTTCAAACTGTTGAGACTTTAGCTTAACTCTCAATGGACATAATTTGTTTACTTTACTTGATTATAAGTAGTCTAGAGTCAGGACTAAAACCTGCATCTTCCAACCTTTTTTCTTTAATCAGCATGTTTCTGCTCACATTCATTTCTGTTCCTAACAATTTGACTTTTAAGGTCACTACACAGATGAATAACAGCAGTAGGAATTTAATTTCATGTTCAGCTGAAGGGATTCTCTGCCAGCAAATGAGATTCCAGGAGAGAGCTTTACCAGTCTTGTGGCTACTCCCCCAGCAATGCCACTGAAGCATTCTGTGTCAATGGAATCTTTCCTAAACAATGAAGCAGGCCAGACTTTAACAGTCTGAACTTCAGTCATCATCTCATTTTGAGGTCCTGGTCCTCCAGGGTGATGGACCATTGTGGTGAGACATTTGACATGATGCTTTACAGTGTAAAGCTTAGTCCTTATTTTGTCCACAGCACAGTCATGAAGTGTCCGACCTCACCCTGTGCTGCTTTTCTGCCTCACCCTCTCTCCTGTGTCATCTACTGGGAGGGAGGAAAGGGAGGGAGGGAGTGAAGGAAGGGAGTGA